TGGTTCCTTCCTTGGAAACGTGGAAGTGCAAGGGCTGGAGCAGGTTGAGGGCAGGAGCCAGGAACTCCAGCCACTTCCCCACGTGGTGGCGGGACCCCAAGCTTACCTGTTGCCTCCAAGGTTCACATTAACAGGAAGCTGGAAATGGAAGTGGAGCAAGGCACCGGTTCAGAGGTAGAAAAGAAGAAACTGGTGTCCAAGCTCTTCCAGTTGACTTGCATTGCAGGGAGGTACCCATTTTCAAGTCCATGTGCTCCAACAGTCCAGATTAGCCATTGTGGTCTGACAGACCTCTGTGAGGGGACATTTGTGAGAAGCAGGCTGGCTTTGGGTTGGGATAGCTCAAAATGATGAGAGATTATATTATCATCTACCTATGGATTTGATCTACTTATGTAGAGGGGACTCTGTCCTCACATTGGTGTCTTCCTGCCGGGACCCCTATTGATTCTCTCAATCCAATATCTATTTACACTAGCCAATGACAGTACTTCATTTTTTTTTTCTTTATTAGGCAAGACTGAAAAGTGCTGGAATCTTCGTGGCCACTGCCGTGATGCATGCACCAAGACCGAGAAATTCTATGTCTTATGTGGCAGTGGCCAACTGTGCTGCATCAAGCTGAAGGAGCAGCTGCGGCAGCCGGGGCGCTGACTGCTGCTTTTGATGCCCAGGGCCACTGGCATGGAGATACAGCTGCCTTGAGTCTGACCTCTGTAGATTTCTGAGTTTTAGTAAAACCTGTTTGGCTGACTTCTGTGTCTGTCTCTGAATACACCCAATTACACTCCAAAAGAAAAGGGGACAGACAGCAAGTCCAGGGTTCTACATCTGTATATTCAATCAACGGTGAATCAAAAAATATCAGAAATAAAATAGTGTACAGAACATGTACACACTTTCCTCATAAACAGTATAAGATAACAACAGGTATTACAAATAATCTCCAAATGATTTAAAAGTAGAGCCTCCCTTGGTACTTTGTGAAGCTTGGTTTGATTTTCTTGGCCACTGAAGTCCTCAGAGAAACCAGACCCTTACATAAGATGGCCTAGTCTTTGCACATAACCTGTGCATATCGTCCCATATACTTTAAATCATTGCTAGATTACTTATACTACCCAGCACAATGTAAATGCTACATAAGTAGTTATTACACAGCGTTTGAAGGAAGCAAAATGGAAAGGAAAAATAGTATATGTGTATGTGCTCAGTACAGGTGTGACGCTTTTGCACAGCTGTATTTGGTCCACACTTGGTTAAAATCATGGCCATGCAGCTGCACAGATGCAAAGGGTCTACAGGGTGCCCAACACCCACCTCTACCTTTTGGTTTTTCATTACTGTGGTGAGCAAAGATCTACTCTCTTGGCAAATGTCCTATGACTGTGCTGTGTTACACCATCAACTGTAGTCCCCTCTGTGATTAGAATATTTTTGTGCCCTCCAACATCATGTGAAAAGCGAATCTCCAATGCAGTGAATTATTTTGTCTTTTAGAAATAATCATCTTTTTTGAAGAATTGATTTATTTGACAGGTGGACACCACGTACATGGAAAGAGGTAGGGAGAGAGGAAGAAAAAGACTCCCAATTGGCGGGTTTACGCTGCCTGCGAGAGCTCAGCTAGGAAATAACGGCAGCATCTCAGCGGCTGAGCCATCACCTGCTCTCTCCCAGTGTGGACTACCAGAAAGCTGGAAATGGGAACAGGGGTGAAACTTGACCAGACACTCTGACAGGCATTCCTGAGCCACGTCTTTACCACTGAGTCATACACCTGCCTAGTCTCCTGCCTGCAACGGTCCTCACTGCTATTAAAGGGTGTGGCCTGTAAGAGGCAACTGTACCCTCAGGGTTCTGTTCTCTTGAACCAGGTCAGGGGCATGTGTCCAAGGGCTTGATGGAGGGAGCTGGTCCCTTGAGTCTCTTCCCGCCACCCAGGATGTGACTTCACAGATGTTCTCCTCCTTGGAGGGCCTGCCATCTGGGAAGCCAAGAGCTGTGCTGCTCACCAGCCGTCACCACGCGCTTCCTAGTCTCCAGGGTTCATAAGAAATATATTTCTTATCTTTAATAAATGGCCCAGCCTCGGGTAGCAGCAGAGTGAGATGGGCCCTGTGCTGGACATGGGCTCTCTGGAACTCATTTATTTTGGGGCTGGAGGTTCATGCTCTCTTCCCAGCAGCTCCTCCTCGCCCCATCCCTAGGCTTGGCTGCCGCATTCTGCTCTCCACTTTTTGCGAGTCTGATTTAAGGGTCCACACATGAGTGTGATCATGCAACATTTCCTTCTGTGTCACCGGCTTATTGCACTTCAGGTCTTTGCCTCCCCAGGTCATCCGTGCTGTGGCCACAGGCAGCGTTCCCTCCTCTTGATGACTGGGTATCGCATTCACCCACTTCTCCAGCAGCAGACATGGGAGCTATTGGAAATAACGCTGCAGTGAACATGGAAGGGCAGGCATCCCATCAGCGCACTGATTTCTTTTGCTTTGGATGCCTATAGACCATTTTTTGGACTTGAAAAATCACATAACAGTTCAATTTTTATTTATTTGCCAGAGTGAGAGGGAGTGGGACAGAGAGGGCGGGGGACAGTGACAGATTTCCTGACTGCTGGCTCACTTCTTAAATGGCCACAACGGTCATGAGTCAAGACTTTCCCTTAAGTCTCCCACATGGGTGACAGGGACTTGAGCAGGGTAGGCTTTGGCCAGAAGTTGGGTCAGAAGTGGAGCAGCTTGGACTAGAACTGTGGGATGCTGGCACCTCACACTGTGGCTTAACTGACAGTGCCACAATGCCGGCCATTGATGGCTCTGTCTTTAATTTTTTTGTGAAAGGCAATACTATCTATCATAGTAATTATACTTATTCACATTCCATCAACAACATGCATATGCTTTCTAACCCTTGCAATTTTTATCTTGAAAACCATGCACTAACAGGTGTGAGGTGAACTCGCACTTCGTCGGTGACCAGAGGTCTTGTGCACTTCTTCATACACTGGCTGACGGCTCAGATGCCAACATTTCTTTTGAGAAATGTCTGTTCAGCTCCTTTGTCTACTTTTAGTTGGCTTCTTTCTTTTATTTTTAAAGATTTATTTATTTTTATTTGAAAGACAAACTTGTAGAGAGAGAGAATCTTCCACCCGCTGGTTCATTCCCCAAAGGGCCACAAAGGTCAGAGAAAAGAAGGGGACCTGGAACTCCATCTGGGTCTCCTCCATGGGTGCCAGGAGCCCACAGTCATGGGCCATCCTCTGCTGCTTTCCCCGGTACATTAGCTGGGAGCTGGGTCAGAAGTGGAGCTGCCAGGACTTGAACCCACTAGGTTGCCAGCGCTGCAGACAGAGGTTTAACTTGTTATGCCACAGATCCAGCCTTGGGTTATTTCTTTTCTTACCATTGAGTTATACGAGTTTTTACAAGTAGACTTTTTTTTTGTATTAATCCGTTATTAGGTATATGAATTGTAATATTTTCTTTCATTCTATAAGCTATGTCTTCATTCACCTGATTGTTTCTTTAACTGAGCATAAGCTTTTCTCTCGTGCACGCTTTTTTTATTTTTTTGCTTTTGTGCCAATAAAAGTAAACCAATCTGCAGCTTCTGCAGAGAGTTGGACAACAGGAAAGACAGGAAAGATAAGGGACTGGGGGAAGAGATCCTGGGAGGTGCCCGCAGAACAGCTGGAGTGGAGCAGCTTGGAAACAAGTTTCCACAAAACACCCGAGTCTTTATCATCTTCCACCTCAGCCCAAACAGCTATGGTGTGCATAGGACACAAAGGACAGAGCTGTCCTTGAGAGGGTTTTGGGTGAGCCTTCTGCTGGGTGTTAGACCTAAGCCATGCAGGTTTGACATTTTAAGATCAAGCTGGAACAAGCCCAGGGAGGGAGCTGACTCACTGACGTGTAGCCAGGAAGGCTGCAGAATGAGAGTGGCTGCCACACAAACACCCTGAGGAATCTTGAAGGTGACAATTCATAGTAAACAACCACAGCCACCAACCCCTGGGGACTTTCCCCCAGGCACTGTGCGTGCATGCGTGCATGTGTGTGTGTGTGTGTGCGTGTGTGTGTCGTACCCGCATTATGGCAGTGGTCAGTAGCGTCATCACACAGGGCTACCTTGACACGTCCTCAGAAGTATGTGCTACAGGAAAAGCTGTGCATAAATCACAGATGCTTCCTTTCATCAAAACAAGCATCTTTCAATAAAAATTGTCCATGACCTTTCTGAAGTACCCTCACTAGAGGTGGTAAAATCAGAAATCAGAGACAGGAGTTAACTTGTTCAAAACGACGTGGCTGATTCATGGCAAAGGGAGGCTTTGAAATTAGATCTATCTGTCCCCAAAGCTTGTTTTCTTTCTGTTACCCCACACTACCCCTGATAACAGCTTTTTGAACATTTTAAATAACTTGAAGAAAAACAAAATTCCAGGATATCCATTGCCAGTGCCGTGTAGCGCGTGCATGGATCCTGGCATACCCATTTCCCGTGATGATGACTGTGAAACCATGAAGGTATTTTCCTCTATTTCTGTCCTGTCTTTGATAACAAATCACCACTATGCTGGACATCCTAAAACATCCTTAATGCTGGAAAAGAATGCAGGACACTTGTATGTTATCACTCGTTTTCTGGTTGACTTGGTATCTGTCTCTTTCTTTTCCGTTATCATAAGTGAGTCAGTAACTAAAACATTTTTTTTTCTCTTTCTTAGCTCCCAGTGGTATTGTGCAACTCTTCAAAGGCAAGGCTGTTTTCCCAGCCTCCCTTCCTCTCTCCTGGCTTCCTTAATCAGCATGGTTCATGGGTTGCCTGCTTGTCTGATCTCCAATTACTGTTCTCTTTCTGATTCATCGATCACAGCTCGACTTGGCTCCCCAGGGCAAATAAATACCCACCTGGAGCATACAGCATGGAGACAGCCGCCTGCTCCACTGGTCTGAAAGCCTCCACTTCTTCTTTGAGCCCTGTCCTTCATGAAGTTCCTTCTCCTGGTTTTGACTGTTGCCCTGCTCTTGGCCCAGGTCTCCCCAGGTAAACAGCATCTCTCCAAGGGGGCTTTGGGACAGGGAACCTTCTGAATGTTCTGACAGCGTGGCTGGGAGGATGGCTTAGCTGTTACTGCAGAAGCTCACTGATAGGCTCTAATCAAGAAAACATTTGACTTCTCTAGTGCCAGCTGACCTTTCCAACACCATTCATCAAGCCCGCTGATGTTCTCTGTCTCTGGAGAAGTTGCACAGGATGACTTGGGTAGGGTGTGGGGGGGGCGGGTACAAGAAGTATAGACTTTCAAAAAACATTCCTTGGAAGGACTTGAACATTAACTTATTTTTGCTTTGGTGAAAATGGTCCTCAAATCTCTGACTGAGGATTCTGATTCATAATTTTTCCTGCAACACCACATGGCAACCTTAGGATGTAGGTTCCTCAGAGAAGTTGTTCCCCATTCCCTGGGCCATGAGAAAGCCCAAGGTGCAGTGGAGAAGGAAGTGTAAGATTCTTGGAAGTTTCACTGATGTCTTAGAAGACTTACACATGTTCAAATGGGTTTACTCCATATTCTTGGATCCTTTGATTGACATGCTGGAGGAAGGTGACCAAAAGGCAAAGGGAACAGGTGGCTGGTTGATACTGGGCTGTGAGCATCTTAGACTACATGAGGAGATGAAATCCTGAAGAGAAGGTTGTTCTTTCTTCCCCTAAGGGAAGCTGCCTGGTAGACCCTCGGTCACTGACCTTGGGGTTTGTGACAGGGGACACAAGTGGTGGAAGCAAAGATAATGACTGATAAGCCCCACAAAATTCAGAGGCCTCCTTGTGACAGCTGCTTCCCCACAAGCCTTCTTTATTTCCCCTACTACTCTTCTTTTGCAGTAGCTTGAGATTGGTCCTTGGCTTTCTTTCAACATTAACTCTGCTTCCTCCTTGTCCTTTGCTTTTAGTCATGAAGTGCTGGGGCAGGACAGGCAGGTGCAGAGAAACATGCAAAGACAGTGAAGTATTCCACATCCTGTGCAAATCTGATATAAAATGTTGCGTGAATCCCAAGTACGTCCTTGGCTTCTGGCTTCAGTCTGGCTCATCCTGGTTGAGGCAGCCATTTGGGATAAGAGCCAGGAAATGCAAGATTTCTCTCTGTATTTCTCTTTCAAATAATGAATTAAATTAAAAAGTTTCTCATTCAAACGATTCTTCATTTCTTCTAGATCAGCACTGCCACTATAACTTTATAATGATAGAGATATTTCACATCTGGATTGTCAAGCATGGTCTAGCTACATGTGACTCATGAGCACTTGAAATGTGGCTAGTGTGACCGAGGGATTTTTTTTCCATTTTATTTTTAATTTTATGGTACAATTCCACAGGGTCTGGGATTTCCCCATATTATTACAATAGTATAGTCCTTTATTAGCAGTAATAAGCCCATCATTTTGTTATTTAAGTGTGTCCTGATATTGCTGGTGCAGACACTGGCAGAGAGTCCAGCATCCTATTGTCAAGATAAATCCAACAGTTTCATTGGGAATCCATCTTTGATTTGGAAGTAGAGATGCATACTGCATTGTATCTTCACATCTGGATATCATAGTCTATTATGCTGTTATGACACATTGAGGGATTGATTTTTAATTTAGTCTATATTTAAACATATAGGCTAAATATTGCTAATTGTTATTCACTGGACGCTGTAGCTTTAACATGTAGACATGTAAGGCTGAGACATCTGTGGCCTCTAATCTCAGGGTATTTTAGGGGAGTCAGGAGGCAAGCAAGCATCCGAGATGGACATGAGAACCTGTTATCAGCCCACTGCCTCTCTTTGCACATCCAACCTTCAGCTTTCTCCTGGTACACCTGCAGCTCTGCCCTACAGGGCTTCCAGGATTATGTTTCTCACTAAATACATGTTGATACTATAAGACAGAGCAGGTGGTGGTGGCCACATCCATCGTTTGAATGACAAGATGTACTTTGGTGAACCAGGTGACATTCTCTCACTGTCTGGTGTCCATGTCTTTTTTAAACAGATTTTATTTTTAAAAATGTTCTTGGAAAATCAGATTTACAGAGATAAGGAGAGACAGAGAGAAATATCTTCCATCTACCAGTTCACTCTCCAAGTGGCCACAATGGCCAGAGCTGAGCTGACCTGAAGTCACGAGTCAGAGCTTTTTCTGGGTCTCCTAAGAGGGTGGTGGGTACCAACGGTGTGAGCCATCCTCAGCTGTTTTCCCAGGCCACAAGCAGGGAGCTGGAAGGGAAGTGGAGCAACTAGGACACAAACTGGTGCCTATACGGGATCCCAGAGCATGCAAGGTGAGGACTTTAGCCACTAGGCTACTGCACCAGGCCCCATCATGTCCTTTTTTAAAAGCAGATTAATTTTATGTTAGTGAGAGGAACAATAGACATGTGTCTGGACTTTCCTAAATGAGCATTGTATCAGAGTGATGTATGAAGAATTCAATGTAGCATAATTTTCCCCATTTTATGGGAGCAGGCATCAGCAAAACAAGAGAAAAGATAACGTGTTTCTGCCCTGTTTTTGCAAGGGAAACAAAGACTTTGTGTTCTAAACCTTGGTAAACCTTGGCCTTCCTTTTCTTTCTTTTTTTTTTTTAAAGATTTATTTTATTTTTATTGGAAAGGCGGATATACAGAGAGGAGAGTCAGAGAGGAAGATCTTCCATCCAATGATTCACTCCCCAAGTGAGCGCAACGGCGGATACTATGCCGGTCCGAAGCCAGGAGCCTCTTCCGGGTCTCCCACGCGGGTGCAGGGTCCCAAGACTTTGGGCCGTCCTCGACTGCTTTCCCGGGCCTCAGGCAGGGAGCTGGATGGGAAGTGGAGCTTCCGGGATTAGAACCGGCGCCCATATGGGATCCCGGGTGTACAAGGCAAGGACCTTAACCACTGCGCCTGGCCTTCCTTTTCTAATGGGGAATTGAAGGGTGTGTAAGTGTGTCAGTGTGTGTACGAGTGTGTGTAAGAAAGAAGACCTTGAAGACAAACTCTGTCATTCCTTGAGTTCTGTAAATAGGAGGGTCCCTGGAGGAACGGATCTGGGAGTTTTGGCTTTCCTGGCAGGGGGGGAATGTCATGGTGGATGGAAAGGCAGGGTGGTAGATGAACCACCTCAAGGTGGCAGGTGTATGGCCAGGCTTGCCTGCATGCCAGCCACTGTGGAGAGCTACTACGACTCTGCCGCCTGGGAGCACGGGACAGACCACAGATCTACGTGGCTCCACCTGCGGTTGGCGGAGGGGAAGCTGCCCTGAGGAACAATCTCCCTGTTGTCTGGACCTGCCCAAAGAATGGAGTTCAACAGCATTATCCCGAAGGCAAAGAGCGAGGACAGCAACGGTCAGCAGGGTGGAGGACGGGCCAGCTCTCTCCTCGCCTCCCACAACCATGGGCTCCTGGAATGCACAACAGAGAGTGGTACTCACCTCCAGCAAGCCTGCTTTGGCCGGCTCACCAGCTATAGAGCTGGACTGGAAAGACGCACAGCAGGATCTAGAAGGCCTGAGCGTGCTGGGGCATTCATGGTCGGCTCACGACTGTCATTATTTTAGTAAATTACAGGAGGAATACTTTCGTTCTTTCTTTCTGAGAACACTGCTTGAGACAGGCTCACAGGTGGAGCTAGGTTGGTTAAAGGCCTTCCTCCAGAGGGGAGCCCCTCTCAAAGGGCCTTGCCCCCACTTGTGTGAACCCTGGGCACTCAGAGGACGTTTCTCTGAGCTGCAGGCCCTTGCTTGGGACGTGAGGAGATGGCTTGAAGACTTGCACGTGAAGTCGTCCCTAGAAGGCTGAGACTTTACGGTTCTCGTGGCTTCCGCCTTCCTGTCATGTGATTAACCTACTAAGTTAGCGGGGAACGGGCGTCACAGAGTATAGATGAGAGTCCCTGGCCTGGGCAGGACTCCCCCAAAACTGGATGGCCGGATTGTTCCTATCTTCCCTTCTGTGGGACTCAGGCTCCAGGGAGTGGGTGGCCAGTGCCCAGCCTTGAGGCAGTGGATGGTGCCCGATGTCCAGAACGGGCCAGGTCGAGATGTACCCATGTAGGAGGCATCCGTCTGGGCAAGCTATTCCATAGCAGTCACGAGCCAAGCTGGTTACCCACTGGGAGTCACCTTGCACCCTGCTTCTGGGCCTCTTCTCTCCCAGTGGCCTCTGCTTGCTGGCCAGCAGGGCAGTGTCTGCTCCCCACACTCCCTTCAGCTGCTCCCCCTGAGCCTTCGCCAAGTTCTCCCAGGGTAGCAGGAGAAGCAGTACCCTGCTGGGATGGTCCAGAACCCGGGCTGGGGGGATCTTAGGAGAAGAAAGGGGGTGCTCTGGACAGAGCCGTCATCTGTGGCACTCGAAGGGAAGTTCTGAGGACAGGTGCACATGCCAACAGGACCAAACCCACACGAATGCACTTCCACGCACCTTGGATGTGTCTAAAATACCTGAATACACTATGGAAACATCAGGGCGGGCGTGGGAATGAGCAGTGACCGGCAGGGGGTGATGGACACGTCCTCAAACTAGGTGGTGGCTCAACCCTATAATCATCCAATGATACAGTCAGTGAGTCCATTTCAATCTGCTGTAAAATGGAGGGCCACACGCCAGTGTTGCTCTGGCCTAAGTCTCATCATCTCACTGCAGAGATCCTCTGCTCCTGCCTCGGCTGGGTTGCTGCTCTCCCAAGAGGAGCCCAGGTCATGATTAGAGCATTTCCAAAAGATCCAGATGGGAATTCCAGACCCAGAATCTTTTTAGGTGACCACTTGGGCAAAAATGCTCTCAAATTTGTTTGCTCCTTAGTACAACAGAGGGAAAAGATCGCCACCTGGTGGCTGTGTGAGGTAGCTTTCTACTGTCTTACTTGGTGTGCGAGTTGTTTATTGTACATTACTATAAATTAAAATCAGTAGTATTTATTGTTCATCAAATCTTCACATTTTTAGCCAATGTTAGTTAATATTTGATACCAGGAATGCCAGGGGTGGCTAACTCTCCCTCAAGTCTGTTCTTTCCATCTTCCTGGTAACACCAACCCTGAATCTTTGCTCACAGTGATTGCTCAAAAAGAGGAACATATGTCCAGTCCATCTGAAAGCCAGAATGGGCTCTGGCTGCTGGACTGGAGCGGAGACAATGTGGCATCTGAGTGGTCTCCTTCAGGGAACAGGGCCTGCCCTTCCTTCCCATCTCTCTCTCTCTCCCCGGTGGCTGCAATGGGAACAGGATGGTGAGAATGGAAAAGACTCTTGGGTCATCGAAGACATCTGCTGCAGACAGCCGAGGGTGAAGCCAGAGGGAGCCCCATGCCTGCCCTGAACTGTGCCCACAGTCTTCCATGAAAAAAAAGCCAAAACAAAGTGCTGTCTTTCAGAATCACCTTTACTCGGAGGGGTGCCAGCTGAAACAGCTGGATTGACCCCCGAATGCCTCAGATGATATTGTGTGCACTGTGGTTCCACCTGGAGGCCGGGAACATTCTAAAGAAAAGAGGTCCATGTAGATCACAGTTCTGGGGATGGCAAGTCCAAGATGGCGAGTCCAACACTTGTTCTGCTTCTGCTGAGGGACCGGGGACGATGACATCACGGTGGTGGGAAAGCATCAGGGATCACGTGGGGGGGCAGGAAACCAGAAGTGCTCAGAAAGCAGGTTCCCTGTAACTCTATTTTTTTTTTTTTAATAACAACCTGTTTTGGTGGGAGATCTCAGAGTCCCTTGAAAACTACCTTAATCTGTTTCAAGACCTTGACCTTGAACTAGGTTCCATGTTTAAAAGGCTCCATCACCTCTCAGCATGGACACACCAGTGACCAAGCATCCAGCACATGATCCTATGGGGGACACGTTCAAACCACAGCACAAGCCGAGTTTCTGACACCTCAAAGGGAGAAACAAAGATGAGTAGTATAAACTTAAGGGCCTGGTGCAACAGCTCAATTGGTTAAGAACTGAGATCCCCTAAGGGTGCCCATTCATGTCCTGGATGCTCCACTTCCCATCTAACTCCCTGCTATGGCCTGGGAAAGCAATGGAAGACGGCCCAAAGCCCTGGGATCCTGCACTCATGTGGGAGACCCAAAAGAGGCTACTGGCTCCTGCCACCAGACTGACTCAGCTCTGGCCATTGTTGCCACTTGGGTAGTAAATCACCAGATGGAAGAAGTTTCTCTCTGTCTCTCCTCTCTGTGAATCTGCCTTTCCAATAAAAATCAATACATCTTTTAAAAAAAGTTGATGTATTTCAAAGGCAGAGTGACAGAGAGGGAGGTGGGGAAGAGAGAGAGAGAGAGAGAGAGAGAAGCTGTCAGCTGCCTGTTCATTACCTAGTGCTCACAACAGCCAGAAGCTGTGCCAGGCTAGAGCCAGGAGCGGCCTTGAGTCCATGGGGGGACAGGGACTCAAGGACTTGGCTCGTTCTTCTCCGTTTCTTAGGGCGGGCATGAGCAGGGACAGGGTGAGAAGAGGCAGGAGACAATCCCAGGCACTCGGGTACAGTGAGCAGGTGTCCCGAGCAGTGGCTTCACCCCAGTGCTTGCCCACATTTGAGAGGAGACGGAATGAACAGACAGAACTCAGGCAGGTCTTCACAACTGCCGAGTGCAAAAACACTGGGAATGAATCTCGCAAGTTTAAGACTCAAAAAAAGACGCATGCGTGTTCCAAAAGCTGAAAATAAGGGATTCTAAAAATGAAATACTTCTTGGGTCTGGCACAATAGCCTAGTGGCTAAAGTCCTCATGTTGCATGCGTCAGGATTCTTTTTTTTTTCTCCATTTTTAAAATATATTTTTGACAATCTTTATATAGTTAATTAGGGTAAAAAGGTCCAAGGGCTACAGGAAAGTGGGTAAGGCTATCATTTCCACATTGTTTCCTTCATGTATCTGAGGCAAAGGGGGATTTTAAAGGAGAAGCCCCCCACCCCAGGTCACTGATGGGGGTGCTGGTTTGTATCCTGGGCACTCTACTTCCCATCTAGCTTCTTGACTGTGGCCTGGGAAAGCAGCTGAGGACGGCCGAAAGCCTTGGGACCCTGCACCCGCATGGGAGACCCAGAAGAGGTTCTTGGCTCCTGCCTTCGTATCAGCAGCACTGACCATTGGGGCCACTTGGGGAGTGAAGCAGCAGATGAAACATTTTTCTATCTCTCCGTCTCTGTAAAATGTGACTTTCCAATTAAAAATGTTAAAAAAAAAAGAGAAATACTTCTTGACATATGTTTGTGTATTAATTAGTTACTTTGTGGGTGTCAAGAGGCCCCCACGGCATTTAATTTGCCCACCCCTTTAGCAGCATCGGTGCTGGCCCATGTCTCACACTCCCATCTTGAACTGTGCTGAGACATGAGCTACATGCTGTCCTTTGGCGTGACTGACCTTCCCGGTATAAACCCTCCGCTGTTCTAACACACTGCCCACGCCCTGCTGATAAGAGGGAGGCCCATCCCTGCGACAGGCAGTTCTGTTTTTGTCTCCGGCAGCTCCGTGGCTTCCTTCTCCCGCTCCTGCGAGTCATGAAGCTGCTTTTCCTGGTCCTTCTCATTCTACTGGCCAAGGAGCCAACCACATCAGGTAACCTGAGCATCTCCCAAGGGCTGGGGATGTTTTTTTTTTATTAAAGGCTTGCTTATTTATTTTCATTTATTTGAAAGGCAGAGTGACAGAAATGGAAGGAGGGAGAGGGAAAGAGAGAGAGAGAGAGAGAGATAACTCTTCTATCCGCCAATTCACTCCCCAGGTGCTTGCAACAGTTGGGGCAGGGGCAGGCTGAAGCCAGGAGCTTCTTTAGGGTCTTCCCCATGGATGGCCGGGATCCAGGTAGACGAGCCAGCACCTGCTGCCTCCCAGGGTGCGTATGAGCAGGAGGCTGGATTAGAAGCAGAGATGGAGCCTTGAACCAAGGCACTCCAGGATAGGATGCAAGCATCACCAGGGGCAGCCACACGCTCATTAGAAGAGTTTGAGATGCCAGACTTATCCTCTTGCACTGTGGGCAACATCTGAGACTTTTCCTCATGGCCTGCAAGCAGCTCTGGGACGTTTTCCCAGCATGATGTCATCCTGATTCTGTTCTGCCAAGCTAGGGGGCTGGTAGAACTTTGGACATTCTGGCACTTCCAGGGATGCCATTCTGGTGGGAGCTTGGGGGTAGAGTTGGGTGCAAGCTGGAAACTTCTTGGGGACTTTGAGAGGGTATATAGCAGGCTGGAGATGAGTTGTGACAGAGGTAATACTAGGATGAATAATACAAGAGGAGAAGCTGGGCTTCCCCACTGGCTTGCAGTGGGTTAGGGAGGGCCTGGGATTTGGGACTGACTGGAGCTGATATTAGGAGCTAGGCTGGGGTTGGAGTGATGCTGGGAATCCATACTGGATGGTGCAAGGTGCTTGGGTTTAGCTTGGCAAGGGGCTGCTGCTGCTACTGTTACTGCTTGATGTTGAGGTTGGTAATATGATTGTATTTTGTCTTGGTTTGGCATTGGAGCTTGGGGGTGTTAGGTTGGATAAGACCAGGGGTTCTAGTTACAGCTGGACTAGAGTTTGAGTCTCAGTGGGTCAGAGGCTGGGCTGTGGCTGGAGCGGAGGCTGTTTGGTTTAAGCAGGACAGGACCAATCTCCTGATAAGGATCTTGGGGCTGTGGGGATGTGAGTGGGTCCTCTCTGCTCCTTACTATGACAGATACCTCTTGTGCTTTTCCCGTTGTCCCCAAACCCCACTAGTTGGGACCTCCACTAGTGTCAATTGATACAAAGCAGGGAGTTGGCAACTGGGGGATTGAAAATGTAGAAAGTCTTAAAAAGGACTCTTAAACACTCCAGAGTTGCCCATCCTTCTCTCCCATCTCAAGGTCTCTTCTTACTTCCCCCTGGGATTAACTCCTTGACCTTCGCTCTCCTGTCTCCTCCTGCTCCTCTTCTGCGTCCTTTCATGCATCCACTCGGGAGATACTAACTTCTGCTTCCTGTCTGATCCTCAACCCAAAGGGGAATGTTGGGCGCATGGACACTGCCGGTTGGTGTGCAGAGATGGTGAGGAGCCCATTGTCCGCTGCCACAATCGTAAACGGTGCTGTGTCCCTAGTCGCTACCTAACCATCCAACCAGCAACCATTGATGGACAACTCGACTGGACCACTCCTCAAGTGTTGAGAACAAGCGAAAAAGTCCACAAACACAAAAACCGTGGCTAGAAATGATCTCGCTGCAGGTGCCTGGGTTTTCTGTGTGTCATTAAAAAGTATACACTGGGTTCTTGTGTCTGTCAGTCAAAAAGAGTGAGACTCCAAAGTGGATTGAGAATGGGGAGAGAGCCCCGGTGCAGCCTGGGACACTAGGGGTGGTAGTCGCAGGGCCTGGGTACCACTAGGAGGGTGGCAGGGCATGGGGGGTGGGAATGATGATGGCTTCAATGACAATTCCCTGTCTGCCTGTCCCAGGAGAGACTGCTGAATACAGAGTGAGGAGGGGATGGGGGCGGCTGAGAGATTGGAAAGCAAGTGGATGCTAGAAAGCGGAACAAGTCTTGGTCCATTTGGGGAGTGAGTGGGATTTGGAGGTAGACAGGTGGACAGTGGCTGAGCAGAACCCAAATCATTGGGTTTCCAGGTCAGTCAGCTGAGACACCCGATGTCCAGGTGTCCAGAGTCGAGTAAGAAGGCTGTTAAGTACCGGAGGTGAGGTAAAGCACACACATGTCCACATTTCTATACAAGTCACCCATCGTTTCCTTTTCCCACTCTTTCATGGATGTGTTTATTCACTCATACGCTTCAGCTGCTGTCATTTCCCAGTGATGATCAGTCTTTGACTTATGAATGTAGGGAAGATGATGCCAGAGTGCAGGCATTCACCCGGAACTAATCAACACACCTGTTTAACAGAGGACACCCCCATTTCAGTTTCCTTTCAAAAATCAATGTATTTGCTTATTTATTTTATTCTTTTTTTTTTAAGTCTTTTTGCTTATTTATTTTAAAAGCAGAGAGACTGAGAGAGAGAGACAGGGATAAGGTAGGAGGTAAGATGAGAGAGAGAGAGGGAGATCTATCAACTGGTTCACTTCTCAAATGCTCGCAACAGCTGGGGCTGGGCCAGGGTGAAGCCCAGATCTAGGAACTCCATCTTCACATGGGTGAGCAGCGATCCAATGGCCTAAACCATCACTTGGTGTCTGCCATGGTACATACTGGCAGGAAGTTGGAAAGTCAGATTTATAGAGAGAAGGAGAGCCAGACAGAAAGATTTTCCATCAACTGGTTCACTCCCCAAGTGGCTGCAGGAACCAGGAACTTCTTCTGGGTCTGGCACACATAGGTGCAGGATCCCAAGGCTTTGGGCCGTCCTTTACTGCTTTCCCAGGCCAGAAGCAGGGAGTTAGAAGGGAAGTGGAGCATGTGGGAATCGAACTGGCGCCCATATGGGATCCTGGTGCATACAAGGTAAGGACTTTAGCCATTAGGCTACTGCACCTGATCTGAGCTTTAGATATATTTTTAAAAAACTATCTTATCTATTTGAGAGAGGGAGAGAGAATCTCCCACCCACTAGGTCACTCTGCAGCAGCTGGGGTTGGGCCAGGCCAAGCGGGATGCTAGAAACACTCTGGATCTCCTGTGTGGCTGGCAGGTATCTGAATGCCTCCCAACATGCAGGCTGGCAGGAACTAGGAGCAGAGCCAGGACTCAAACCTACACATGCTGATACAGGGTCCCGGCACTGTAAGCAGTTTAAAAACTGCTCTGCCAAGTGCCTGCCCTTTAAGACTGTTTTGTTGTCCTTCCCCCCCCCCCCCATCAACAGGATGCTCTTGGGATTTGGTCAAGTGGTCTCTGTAATAGTTTATTCCCTTTAATTTAAAACAGTTCCAGTTGATGCACTAAGGAGGAAAGGAAATAAAAGGCATACCGATTAGAAAGGAAAAAATAATTTACTATTGGGAGCTATCTTGGTGAGTTAGGTAGAAGATGGCACAGAGCAGATTTCTCTTGGGACTTGTTTGGTTTTGCCATCTCTGTACCCAGCTCCAGAAGCACTAGTCCAGGGCAGGTGAGGCACAAACAATGGTTTCCTGACTGTTACTCCTAACTCGCCTCCATCTCTCAGAATATTTTATGCTTGTTTTATGAACACTGCCAAGGCTGTTTGCTGCATTTAGTAGCACTTGAAAAGGGTCCATGACCTACTGTAATTTTCTAGAAGGGGAAGTTGCCATCCCCTTTGAGGTTTTCATGGAGCTTTTGGACTTGTCAGATCCATGTCACTGCAGAGTGGAAACTAACTATGTCCCCATTTCCCCCCCAGCAGGCAGACGTAAAGCCATTCGATGCATGGGCAGCAGTGGGTTCTGTAGAACCACTTGCAAAAAAAATGAGCAGCCTTACTTCTACTGCAGAAATTACCAGTCCTGCTGCCTCCAGCCCTACGTGCGGATAAGCATTTCCGGTCCAAATGAAAACAACGAGTGGTCGTACGAGAAGCAGTGGCCAAACATGCCTTGAGTGCTGGTGGTCACCATCCAATTCTCTGGGAGCCCAAATGTGCTGTCAACTTCCTCATTAAAGTTGGTGCACCTGCCACCGTTAATCTGTCTTTTGTTTCCTGGGAGTCAGAGTGGGATTTTTTTTTTTTTTTTTTTTTTTGTTCCATTGTGGAGACGATGGTGCAAGAGAAAAAGTTAGAAAATCAGGTTGAGGCATGGGAGGCAGTGGGAGGGGGGCGGGCGAGGCAAGGGGAGCAGACTTGGGGAAGTATGGAAAGTTGGAAAGGTTGATAGATGTAGCCAAAACCTGTGTGGACTCCAAGAACCAGCAGGATAGGAGAGTTTGCTGAGCTCATGGAAGAGCTTCTCAACCCTCTGAGCCTTTTAATGTGAACTAAGCCTTACCAGGTTTCCTGTTGCCAGGCTGGGGACCCTGTTTGGCAGTTGTTTCAAAGAATTTGAATGTCTCTTGTTGTTGTTGATGACAATTACCCAGCTCCTTTAATCCCTAAGAACCAGGAGGCCTATGCAAGCAGCACCTGATTTCTGACATGAAATTCTAATTTTATTTTCTGTCTTACTTCCTACTCCTGCCATCTTTCTCTGTGTCTAGTTTCAAACGCTGTCAGGAGAGTAGCTATGCTTGTGCAGTTGCTTTCTCTGCTTCGCCGACTCTCTTTAGCTCTTCTGATTTGCTTTTGTGCTGAATGTTTTTTGGACATGGCTTACCAGGGGGTTTTCTTTCTGAAAGTTGCCGGATGGTGGGTTCAGCACAATGACTTGATAAGCTAATCCTCTACATGCAAGCACCAGGATCCCATGTGGGCACCGGTTTGTGTCCTAACTGCTCCACTTCCCATCCGGCTCCCTGCTTAGGCCTGGGAAAGCAATGGGAGATGGCCCAAGAGACTATCGTGGGACCCTGCACCTGTGTGGGAGACCTAGAAGAAGCTCCTGGCTTTGGATCGGCTTAGTTCAGCTATTGTGTCCATTTGAGGAGTGAACCAGTGGATGGAAACTCTTTCTTTCTGTCCTGCCTTCTTTCTATGGATCTGCCTTTTCAATAAGAATAAATTAAAAGAAAAAGAAAGTCGCTGCAAGTTGCTTGACTTGCATTCTCAGGCATCCTCTACTATATTTTACTCCCTTCTTTGAGTTCCTCTGCATACGTGACTTTGCTGTCTTTGTTTTCCTCCTTTTAGGTTGCTCCTTCTCCATTATCAGCTGGATAATCTCTTTCTGTCATTGGTCTCTTTGCATTTCCTTGGGATTGCTCTGCTTTTCTAACATTAGAATCTCTCTACACTTTTAGAAAAAGTTCTGCAACCAAAACACCACACCCACAGGAAAAGACTTCAAGACGTTCATAGAAAAATATAATGAAATTGTTCAATTTGGTACAAAATTTTTTTGTGTAAGGATGAACCAGACAGGGTATTCCTTCTTCATCACCAGCAGCTTTCTGGTTTTGGACTTAGGGCATCAGATTGGCTTCCACACAGTCTTTCCGCTTGAATGTGCAGTTGGTGGGTGAGCAGCAGAAATGCAGAACCAGTAGTTTAGCCTCAAGTTGTCCCCATGATGTCTATGGAAGAAGCCCTTCAGGAGCAGACCTCAGCAGGGGCCTTCATGAGCACACTCCCACGGGGTTCTAAAGAAAACGTGTGGATTGTTCTCCAGGCCATCAGACACACAACCCAGGACTGCTAGCCCAAACCACAGATCGGAGAGTCAGGCTTCAAACACTTCATTCTTTACTCTATACTAACAGACTTGAAAAAAAAATGAGACCAGAATATCCCGTTATCAACTGGGTATTCTTTAACTCCTGGAATAATATGAGGGCACTTTAAAAGTTTGTGGAAAATGGAATTAAAAGATATTTTGGTTTTGCTGCAAAAGTTTTTTTTTCATTTTTTAAAGATTTATTTCTTTTTATTAGAAAGGCAGATTTACAAAGAGAAGGAGAGACACGGAGAGAAAGATCTTCCATCTGCTGATTCACTCCCCAAGTGGCTACATCGGCCATCCGAAGCTAGGAGCCAAGCAGTCTTACTGGTGCGGGTGCAGGGTCCCAGGGCTTTGGGCAGGGTGCAGGGTCCCAGGGCTTTGGGCCATCCTCTACTGCTTTTCCTGGCCACCAGCAGGAAGCTGGATGGGAAATGGAACAGTCGGGACATGAACTGGCACCCATATGGGATCCCAGAACTTGCAAGGGGCAGGATTTAGTGCTGGGCCTGTTGCAAAAGTTGTTTGAAATCCATGCAGATTTTCCATGAGCACTTTGAAGACCCTGTTATACAGCACAGCTGGGGAGGATGTGTACCAGCGTACAGGAAATGAAATATCCCCACACTGGGACTTAGCAGGCCTGGAAGTCCTATGCTGCAGGAGCAGGGCCCCAGGTGCCTCTCCATCCCCATTTCTGCCTTTTTGACTGTCTTTCATCACACACAAATGATGACATCATGATGAACCTCAAGGCTTAGTTATCAAGGAATAAGGACATAAGACTGTGTTGGTGCTGCGGTTCTGGGGCTGGCTAGCATGAGCTTCCAGTGCTGCACCCTAGCCTGATGCAGACAGCATCTCAAAGAAGTCTTTCCAGCAGAGGAAATGGGAGGAGGGTGGGATGGCCTGAAGTTTGATCTGCAGTCACTGCTGTAGAACGGGAAGGGGTTGGCCAGCTGTGTAGGGCAAGAATCTGCTTAGAAGATCTGCAAGGATGAGCTGGGTGGCAGTTAGGGGCACGGGTCTCTGAAGGGTGACAGGGTGGGAAAGCACTGCTATGGTACATGATGGAGAAAACATAAAATTCTTAGTTACCATGTGAAAGGCTCATCCAACCTTTCACTCACTTCTAGATTCCCTACCTTTGATTATCCACAAGAGATCGAAGCTTGGTATGGAAAGAGGCCTGCAAGGCCTGTCTTCCAGCAACTTCTATTCCAACCTTGACACAAGCAGGGGTGTTTAGTGGGTCCTCTAGCTCACAGTTAGGCTTGACAGTTTTCTGCAGTGAGCAGTAAGGTGGTGGTGGTGGGGGGGGTTTCAGGGCCAATGTTAATCAGGAGGAAGTGAATGCTTCTCTGAAATGTCTGCCGTCCTATCAAGAAAATGTTCCATGTCCTCACAGGTATTGTCACAAGGGTATGGATTTTTAAGATATATAGTTTATTTGAGAGGCATAGAGACAGAGAACTCCAGGGAGAGAGGGAAGGAAGAACAGAGAGAGAGAAGATGAATGATCTGTTTCTCAGGTCCCAAATACTTGCAAGAGCGGGGGTTGATCTAAGCCAAACACCGGAAATTCCATCTGGGTCTCTATGTGGCTGGCAGGAGTCTAAGTACTTAAACCTTCGCTTTTACCTCCCAGAGTCTTCATTAGCAGGAAACTGGAGTCAGAAGCAAGAGCGGATGCCTGGAGCTGGAACTGGGTATTGAAACTAGGTAGTTTGATCTGGGATGTAGGTGTCTTAGCCAACATCCTAATTGCGAGACCAAGTGGCCTCCCTGGATTTAGAGGCTTGATACTGACAACTTGTGCTGCTCTCAAGAGGCAGGCTCCCTACAAGGGATGCCTCTAGTATCCCTAAATCATTTGCTGGAAAGTCAGAAGGACCCTTAGAAACATCAGTGTAGGAATCCTTTTGTAAGGGATGAAGGCTGCTGAGTTTACCGGTAAAGAAGGAATATTAAAAATGCATCAGCACTTGTCATGGAAGTAATTAGCTATTTCAAGAAGAATACCAAAGAGTTTATCATTAGAAACAGGGAAAATTTAGATTCTCTGTACAGCTTTTTAGAAAATATTTTTTAAATTAATATAAACAGAATAGATATGTAGCTCACAGATACTATTCTAATAATGCTTTTCCTTACATTCCTTCCATCCTTTAAAAATGTTTGCTATAGTGCATGTTTAATTTACTTCAGAATTGTGCAGCTATGTTTGTTGTGTTGTTATATCTCATATTGGTGGCGATGGGGGGGTTTCTGTGTAGTTGTTTGCTGTTGCGTTGTTATGTCTCATATTGGTGGAGATGGGGAGGGGTTCTGTGTAGTTGTTTGCTGTTGCGTTGTTATGTCTCATATTGGTGGGGATGGGGAGGGGTTCTGTGTAGTTGTTTGTGGTTGCATTGTTATGTCTCATATTGGTGGAGATGGGGAGGGGTTCTGTGTAGTTGTTTGTTGTTGTGTTGTTATAGCTCATATTGATGGAGATGGGAAGGGGTTCTGTGTAGTTGTTTGTTGTTGTGTTGTTATATCTCATATTGATGGAGATGGGGAGGGTTTCTGTGTAGTTTGTTGTTGCGTTGTTATAGCTCATATTGATGGAGATGGGGAGGGGTTCTGTGTAGTTGTTTGTTGTTGTGTTGTTATATCTCATATTGGTGGGGATGGGGAGGGGTTCTGTGTAGTTGTTTGTGGTTGTGTTGTTATATCTCATATTGGTGGGGATGGGGAGGGGTTCTGTGTAGTTGTGTTTGTTGTTGTTATCTAGAAGCTCATGTTGTTGGGGACTGGGAGGGGTCCTCATCACTTGATCTGAGTCAGTCCTTTGCTCTGTGGACTTGAGTGATGTCTGAGAGGAGGTGCTGGAGTATGAGAAGGGATACTGGGTTTCATTTTCATCCTCGTCCTCTAGGTTCCAGGGGTCCATGGTGGGCATTGATGTCGTGGCGGTGGTGGTGGTGTGAACTGGGAAAGATGACGATGCAGGAGGCATGTTCATGGTCTTCCTCTTAACTTGTGGCTCATGGTCTTTATTTACTGGGACACAGCATGCTTGATGATTTTTACATAGGCCTCGTGTCATTTCTGTGTCTTCACAACGCCTCCGGCATTGTCCCGCTTTGCCCCAACATCCTTTTTTACCACGATAGGCTAAACAATAAAAGGAAAAAACACTGACTTTAGGCTGTTGTCACACTCAGTTTTGTTACCATAACTGTCCATCTGGTATCCCCTAACACCATTTTGTCTGAATAAGTCATCGCTTAGGACTTAGACCATGGCTGTAAGACTCAGCTCAGGCCTGGCAAACACCAGGTTTCTTCGAATTCCTATTCCTGACTTTTCAACCTGCTCATTTGT